TAAAGTAGATATGGAAATATGCACACACAATGAACGTATTTTTGACATGGTCAAATAATTTAATAAAATGTATACTGTGTATATATTTCTTCTGTGAACTGATGTAAAGTACAGTAGACAAGTTACAGCGATTCGAAGATCAAACTCGATCATCGTGTTCCTTGTGATTCACACCCGTACATTTAGTCCATGATCCAGGCCATGAATTTTTCGGTATCGGTACCATCTCGGGTGAATAATTTTCATAGTTAATTTTTGAAGGGCATACATCTCTACCTTCAGAAAATGTATGATAGCATTCAATTGATTGTGGCTTTAATGGTGTATCAACTGTTTATATACAACAACCCAACTTGTTCGTTCTTTCAGCTGTATCTTTGAAAGAAGAAAGTTGGTTTTTCAATACGCAATTTCTATCATATTTCGGATGATATTTTCTTGAAAATTCTTTTGAATGCAGACCATGCTATTACCCTGTTCAGTTATTATCCATTATTATGCTTCCTGTCAGTTTGTCTCTATATAACCCATACCCTACTATTCTCGCATAGTGGTCTAAGGATTTATATAGCGTTAACATACTATGCCGAAATAGTGCACGGCTTTGTTTATTGAATAAAATTCTTCAACGCACACGCCGGGGATCGAACTCAAGACCAAGAGATTGTCAGTCCCATGCCTTATCGATTACGCCACAGAGACGATCACTGAATAACGGAATTTTATTAAATATATAAACTTAATTAATACAATTGACACAAGAAGGAAAGAATAGACAAATATTATTTAAAAACAGTTATATTATTCAAAGGGACCTTAGATTAATGCCTACAACAAAGTTTCAAACTAATTACATACAGATCGTTAGATGAACTGATTTCATAGGGTCATTAAAACGCTTTTTTATATGATGCTTGTTGAAGGATGTAAAAGAAAAATGAGAATCGACGTCTGCAAACAAACAACTATATACTAAGAAAACAGAAAATAAAGATGAGTTGCTTTGGGACAAAAAATCCCGACTTATTTAGAGAAAATACTAGTAACCAAAGTAACTAAGCATGTAACCAACTTTAGCATGAAGATTTTGAATGAGTTCTTGCAAGTGCGCTGTGTTAGCACCGATATTTTCAGGAAAAAGACAAATGGATTGCCGCATAAATAATTACAACAGTCAGCATAATAATAACAATAGTGTTGCATTATGCATGTACTATGCCTAAATAGTAGGCAGGGTTTGACACATATAGTGCACGAGCCTCCGGCTCGTGCACCATGTGTCAAACCCTGCCTACTATTTAGGCATAGTACGTACATGCATAATGCAACACTATTATATAAATATTGGCTCTGTAATGTGCCGTCTAAATTATATAGGAATATAATTCTACTCTTGATCATAAAAGTGGAATATGCAATTTTGAAATTTTGATCAGAGGAAACAAATTACTGCAGTGACAATTTTCACATCAAAAACATATTGCATGGTCATTTTATTTAAAGAATTTTTGTCGAATTAATTTTGTAGTTATTTACACCAGGTCGTTTTAAGTGTCGGCTGATATTTGTCAGCAGAAATCGGGGCATAGTGATAAACATTTTTAGCATGCTTATTGAACCTGTGAATGTGAAAAGTTTCACAACCACTGTGTGTTTTGGTATTCATCAAAACCCAAGTTGACCTTGGGTGTGCTATTTTTCTCCTGCTGATTCAGTTACCCCTTCATGGCTGCATTCAATGCAAAATCCAGGAACATCTGAATGTTAAGATTAAATCGGCTATATAATAAATCTGAAATTTAATGCAATTTGAATATATGGAGATATGACATCGAAAAGCAACTAGATGTTACATAAATTCGGTTTCATTTTTTTACAGGAGTCAATAGTAAATAGTAAATGCGACATCAAAATAAAAAAAAAATCAATCTGGACAATCCACACAAAAGAACTAAATGTGCCAAATATAATTATAGATTAATATTCCCCAAAAAATATCCAAAAGTCGTTTTGAAAATTTCAAACCCTTTGAAAATCATCATTAATATTTTCAAATTCAGATTTAAAAATATAGCCATTTCTCACATGGTAATTCAATTCAGTATTTAACTGTTTATTTTTTTCTGAATAATAAAATCTGAATAGCTTTTTTCATTTGATGGTACATAAAATGGTTCTATATAGATAGATATAAAACAGCGGTTTTTAAAAGTTCTTAAAAAGAATACATACCTTTCATTGCAATTTCTTAAACTACTATGTAAACATGACTCCCAGTAAGAAGATTTTAGAAGTGGAACATTTTATGTTAAACAGCTTTATTCCTCTCTAGATATCTGATATATATTTTAAATGATTTATGTGTTGGTACATGAGGTTGTGGATATATTTGCATTATACATGTATTGATGTATTGGCGGCATCCCTTTAGTAAAAGAAATGATGCAAACTTTTTTTTTATATTTTAAAATGCATTTGCAATCTAAAAAAGGATAAAACGAAGATTAACAAGTTTTAGGTGTCTTTTCTAATGATGCAATAATTTATCAATAGAAACCTGTGATCATCCATGTAGGAACATTAGTATTGGTTGTTTATCTTAAAGTCATGTTTAAATTACTCGACACTCCTCGGCTGATTAAATTAAAATCACGGTTATGCGAATCAGCCGAGGTTTGTCGAATGAGAAAAACATAACGCAGTTTAGCGCCATATGACGTAAGCGTTAAACAGTCTTTTTTAACAGTCAATTTTAATAGTTCCTTGGATAGTCAGTCGGGGAAACAGTCGAATTGTTGGACTTTTTAAGGTAAGAAATTACGTAGGGACTGTTTAGTAGGGGTGTAACAATTTATTCTGTGACCCGGTCAACAGTCCCACTGTTTCATGATCAAGCAAAAACGTAAAATAAATCCTGAAACAGTTCAAAATGCCTAATTACATATATGATTTATATAGTAGGTTAGGCAATAAGACTAATTGTTTTAGTGAAGGATGGGATATATTTAACATAACGTTTGTTGTTTGCAAGTGAAGGGAAACTGAATATGAGATAGCTTTGGTTAGCAATTTATTTAAAGAGATGACCAGGTAACAGATATAAAAGAAATTAGAATATTTTAACCGAAATATAATTATCAAATCCCTAAAACTTTGTTTATTTTACACTTTAAACATATCAGATATAAAACGCGAACCCATGCTATATCAATATTGGATAAACGACGCTCCAGAGACAAGAGACTCGAGTGGTGATAGTACTATTGCAAATTTTGGATAACGAAATACTTATCCACCCATTCTATTTTCGAGATTAGAGTTTTTTTTTTTTTTCTTTTAATGAAAAGTAACTTGCATTGTAAGAAATATAAGACTCGTTCTACATAATTTCAATTTCTTTTTTTCATTTGGATCTAAATGCAAATAAGTTTTTCTAAAGATGAAAATTTACATTCCTAGGGAAATATTTCTTCAAAATTTATAATAAAAAAATTTATTATACTTCTGTTAAAATGTTTCCTATATAAAGTTCAGAAGGTAAAATAGCTATCTTTTATAGTTCACGCATAGCAAAGCTATACCCCGGGGTATAGTTTTTGCTATCCACCCTCGGAAAATTTTCATGCAATTTTTGCCTCCAATTTTGATTTCCAACGATAGATCTATCTACTGATGATATCATGATGACTTCAGTAGCATTGTGACGTCATCAGGATTTCAGATTATTCTTACTGTATTGTCTTACTCCGAAAAAATTCAAACCTCAGAAATTATATTATATATCAGTATAATAAAACACTTATCCACTGTTTGTGAGTGGGATAACTCTTTTATCAAACCCTTGACAGAAACTATTCCCCTCGGGCAAGCCCTCGGGGAATAGTTCTCTGTCGCGGGTTTGATAAAAGAGCTATCCCACTCACACCCAGTGGATAAGTGTATAGTATACACTTTTTGTGCGTGCTTTGATCAATTGAAACATTTTTATTCTTAGAAGGCGTGGTATTTTAGATACTGGATAGTTAAAAGACACAAGACAGTTAACATAGATATTTAGTCCTTATATTATTACCGTCCCTTGCTAGGAATGAAAATCTTAATATATGTATGTAACAAATTGGTATACGCAGTTTATAAATAGAGACTTTAATATTTGAGTGATGTTATCAGAAGATTGAGTTCCATAGCTAAATCTTTTTTTGTATTGTGTTTGTACATTTTCCTACCTCCTCTCTACAATGTATGTTTGTACATTTAAGAGAATAAATTATTGTCATCATTGTCATCATTGTGTCGGTATAATTGTGCAATTATTAATCTTCAGGTTCGGTTTCAAAGGAGATCGGTAAAATGCTTAATACATGGGTTGTTTGAAATGCCCATAAAATAACACTCACGTAATCAACGTTATGTAATATACTTATGTACATATCTACAACGAAATCAACATCTTAACTGATCTCCAAATATATGTTTACAATATATTGCTTTGATATAAGCAACCTTAACATAACCATGTACTCCTTTCTTTGTGCTGGTGATCTTTGCATCCTTTGAATATTAAATATTTTGATTATTATCGACATTCCCTTCATTGCTTAGAAAGATCGTTTTATATTCTTGCAAGTGATATTAAAACGCAAAGTCTAAGATTAATGAATCTATATTGCACGAAAGCGCTACTAAGCTTATTTGTTTTAACAAATACGATATATTTCTTCTATAAAATAAAAAAAAAATAAAATCAACATTTAAGCCACTGAGGACCTATTGTTATTTCCCTTTCACATGGTTCATAAACTTTTAAATATGCATACTCAATTGATCAATATTAATGTATGCTTTAAATTGTTCTCTTTAAATTTAAGGCAGCTTTAAACTCTAAAAGCTTTACATCGAATAACATCACGAACATATTGATGGATTGTCTTTATGTATCATGTATTCTTCTGATATTTTCCAATTTCATCAATTCCTTTCAACAGTCGACCTTCTATGTGCATGTTTATAATAATGACAATCATATAACATCTACTAAAATCCTGTCGGAAATAACAAATATTCCTAGTTTGTCGAGTTGTAGTGCTATGTGCAGGAAGAGGGCTGATTCTGTCTCCTTCTTCTACAATTCTGCCATTAAGAAATGTGTATGTACAGGACAAGTTGAGCAAGGTGACCTTCTACCATTTGTAGGATACGTTCATTTTTCTTCGTCAGGTAGGTTTCTATTGTTTCCTTTTACAAATCATGTTTTTTTTGGCATGCGTAGAGTATTTCGTAATAAAATTGAACAACACAAAAAAGTTAAAGGTAGTGTTAGGAATATGCCATTTTATGTAAATTTCATTTTGATACTGGTTTGTAGCTATAGCTTGCCAAAAGTAATGAACATCTGAAAGATATGAAAGATCGTACCAGAGTTCTATTAAAGAACAACTAGTCACAAATAGTGAGATTTATACTTAATCAAAATTATAATCTACATTCCATTGCTGAAGACTGCTGAATTTGAAAATTAAAAAAAATTGGTATTGCACGATGTTTCTTACTTGACATTTTCTCCTTAAGTTTTTTTTTTTTTAAATACGGTGTACAGTAAACATAAAACAAATAGAAAAACGAGAAATTCTGTTTTTAAATTTTTTTTAAATGTCCAGAAATAAAGCAAACCCAGGCACATAAAATGCATTTAATACCATTTAAATATCAATAACCCTATTTATATTTATACATCGACCATAATTCATCATTTCATGCCCTTTCTTTTCAAGGCAGATTTAAAACAAATATTTGATATGCATGGCTTGTCTTTATTTAATTGAGATCTCATTATTGTCAAACAGTCTCCTTTGTTTTACATGCATCTATTCTTCCATCATCAATAATTCAAAAGTGAAAAAATAAGCTGATTACAAGATCAATATATATTGGTCACAGCTTCCAAACATTTGTCTTTACTTCCCACTAAAGTATTAGCAACAGTAAAGGAAAAAAATAAGTATGCAATGTTATAATATAGTTGAGAAGTGTTGTCAATCACTTCAGAATAACTAAATCTCCAAGGTACTTTAAGAACATTTCAACTTAACCGGTCATCTATGACATCAGGGCCTTTGACATTGTTTTACAAATAGAGACAAAAAAGGAAAACAAACCATGAAAATTCAAAACTTCGTAGAATTCAACTACACAACATAAATATCCCCTTTTTAATAAAAAATAATAGTGTAACTTAATTTTATTTTTTAAAAGAATACCAAGGAAATTTATTTTGAATATTGCAAACTTATTATTTATATAAGTGGCGACGTATTCATTCGCCATTTGTCAGTTTAGAATCTCTCTGCAATAACTAATATATCATTATCTTCTATACACAAGTGATAGTTGGGTGGTGCTGATAGATATTTGCATGTAAAAGAATATTGCAAAACAGGAAGATAATGAAAGTTGGTTAACAGAATAGTGTGGAAGAGATAATAATACTTGTTAATACATAAGAAACAAAGTGATATGAGTTAATTCCATTTTTCGTTACAGACCTCTCGATCTGGAAAGTGTTTGGGAAATCCCACTATCTACATATCAAGAAACAAATAAAATGGCTAGACGCACAGGTAAGAATGATAAATCAAGATGTATAATAATACTCGTCCCCGTTATACACTGGTGTAAAAATACATTTTATTTTTATCTAGGTTTAAATAAATACAGAGAATAATTCAACAATTTATTCTAGTCCGCACATATTTGTTTCTTATATAAGGTTTTTGATTAAGCCATCTTAAAAACGAAATGTTTTACACTTTGCATTTTATATGACTTCTACATGGATGTAAGAAGAATTAGCTTCTTCTTGTTAAAAATGCTGATACCACGTTTTTTCCCTGTATTCACAACTTAATTTAACAAGATTCCATGTGACATTATTAGGTACGGGGAACATAATCTACTTCCAACAAATTCTACTGTTGATACCCTTACTTTGTTTGCAAATACATTTTGCTGATAAGTTGCATATTGACGATCGAAACTGATTCCATCTGTGAAAAAAGTCTAATCTTTGCTATCCTAGCATTTCATCGGTCACCGTATATAACAATGTGATATCGTACATGATTTAATGATATCGAAATGTTTTGAAGTTCCCTGCATATATCAAAAATTCACAAAAAAGATACAAAGATTTTGAAGAAATAATTTTTTGTCAACAGATTGAATGTCGAGAACTTGGGGCAAAATTAGCAGAAATAGAGACATTGGAAGAAAATATTTTTCTGAAGAACATCGCAAGGGAGAATAGCTATGGTTAGATTATTTTTGGAAAAGTACATGCATTAGGATTCGTGAAACAACTTAATAATTTACCTTCTTGGTTATAATTTCTGAAGACATTTGCTGAATTGTCCTATTCTATAGAGTGGACCTTCAGATATCCGGACGCCAGATATCCGGATGCTTCAGTATCCGGACGATTTTTCATCGGACAGAAATTTTAAAATGTTATTCTGTCTTGTTTAACTGGTGATTCAGATATCCGGATGCTTCACATATCCGGACAAATTGACTGGGAACCAAAGCGTCCGGATAAATGAGGGTCCACTGTATTTTAACGTAGGTTTTTTTTTGTTTCAAACTAATTGCTATAAAGTGTCTTTTTTCTTCTTGGTTGAATTTCAGTGTAACTGGCAAAATCTTTCATTAAATCATTCAAAAAGATTCTTAAACATGTGTATTTTGCATTTACCAGTAATAAGAAACGTTTTCTTTTATTTGTTAAAGGCAACACATTTATCGGAGGAACAGATGCCTTCTCTCAGAACAGATGGAGATGGTCAACAACATTTCAACCAGTTAACTTCAGTGACTGGGCACCTAGCAAGCCTGATACATCGGGAGGTGATGAATGTATGGATTTATCTGCTAACTTTGACACGTTGTGGGATGATATGGACTGTGATGCAAATCACGCTTCTTTCATGTGTGAGCGGTTAATTGTTTGAGAGCAAAATGATAAGAAGATTTTATCAATATAAACCTAGCTAGAAACATCTATATCTTCCTAAAATTTGTTAATTATATATAATAAACATTTGTCGTATCAGATCTTCAATATGATTCAAAAATTGGAACTTCACTGAATAATTAATTGAATGCACACACTAATTTTCATTTACTCATATGGAAATTCCAGAGGTGGTATCAAGTGCTTACAAGAAGAGAAAAAAAAATTCGACCTTTCACACCCGCCATGGGCCGTATGCATAGATTCAGCAGATAAAGAAATTTGTAGTCAATTTTAATATAAAAACAAAGTTCTATAATTTTTTTTAAGGAACAGTGTTAGTTAAAATATATAGAAAACCTAAGATAGATTGATGAAACGGTAAGTATAACAATAACTGATCGAAAGTTGAATTTATGAAAATTGAATTTATGAAATATTGTCTATAAACGATGCTGAATAATTCCCTTTAATAATCTCTTACAGTATTCTCTCTCTTTTTCGGTAGCCTGCCTCGATTCAATGATTAAGGATAAAAACAGAGCATGATATTGCTTATAGAATAAATGACAGTAAAGAGACAAAATCCATATACAAGTGGTAGAGAAATCCACTACAGAACTGAGGAAAAGTTACAATAGAAATTTTGTTTGTTAAAGATCTAAATATGAAATAGATGTGACTAACTCTGTGGTGGCTTTACTTGAAGATAGTATTAACTGGGAATATCAAGTCGTTCAAAACATAAGAGTAAAAAAGGCGATGGAAAGTCCAATTTGTGATTCCTCGACACCAGAATAAGTGATTATGGATATTAAAAATCATAGACATTTTTTTTAAAGAAGCAAGTTTTACTGAAGAAAATGTTGGTAAAAGAATCAGTCTTTTTCTTAAACTTTAATATGCCATTAAATAATTGAAGTGGTTACAAAATATGTAATATAAGAAATATTCTTAATCACAAAAGAGTCAAGTCTTGTATTCCACCATATTTCAAGTCAAAGACTACACCTTGTATTTTCTTACAAAAGTATACCGACCATTGCTTCAAATCTTTTCAATTCCAAAAAAACTGTACACGACCTGGATACCGAGTATCTGAAACATAATCCTCCATCGTGTTCAAGTTCTTCTTCGTCCTACAGCTATAGTCCTGCTGGAAACATTATTATAAGTGACGTAAATATATTATAGTTAATAATGAGGATCTTAGGTCACTTATTTTAAAAGGTCCTAAATATAGGAAACCCCGATCCTTCAACTGGCGTGGAAATTTCATAAATATTATACTGTTGAAGATTTCGCAAGCCGATGGGCCAGATATGAAAATGAAGACGTTGGCACTTTGTCAGAATGGATTAAATGTATCAGATCCATGTTAAAGTCGCGTATTAAAAGACTCAGGGGCAATATGAAAATCATATATACTTCTGTGTTCGAAAATCCAAAAGTGAAAAAAAATAGATAGATTACATGAATAGTACGAGGACAAAGCAGGTACCAACATTGTGTTCCATTGTAAGGCTCATAATATAAATTGTATTTTTGACGAATTTGGATTTAATTCTACGAGCGGTAATTCAACTTATACTCATAATTCCCTTTCCAAGGAAGAAATTCTTCAAAACCATATGTCAGTTTTGAATATCTTTAATATTCCACAGAGCCAAAACGAATTTGAGGTACATGTATATATTAACTTAAGGAATTTTCTTTATCTAAACGTAATATCTAACACGTTCAATTTTTGCATGCTTTTTTCCATCTATCAGTTATAATTGAAATGACTGTATAATATAATTGACTTCTTAATGGTAGGCGAGGTGTCTTCTCAAAACAACTGGGTATGTAGCATAAATTAAACTGGGCATAAGTTTATTAACGGCTATGGTATTGAAGGCAGTGATATATATGGTCAGTAGATTACACACACAAGTACTCTGAATTTATCATCAAAATGATGCTTGAGTTTCTGATTGACAATGTTTATGTAGTTTTTGGAGACCTGGTCTTCCAACAATATACTGGAATTTCAATGGGTACCAATTGCGCTCCGTTATAAGCAGACCTATTCTTGTATTCATATGAAACAAAATTTGTGCAAAAAGAAGAAACACTTGTTGTGGCTTTCAATTCGGCATTTAGGTATATCGACGGGGAATTGTCGTATTAACAATTTAGAAAACGAGTTAGATTATTGACAAGCAATTAGATGAAACAAGAATATCAGCAGTCTTGTTTAATGTCACCATATCGTAAGTTTTTATGATCGATACAATGACCTTGACAGCAAATACAATTTATCATTGAGTCAAATGCCGACTCACGTCTTTCATACTTATTGTAATCCATTATTTATACAATGAAATGACGACAGATTTTTCCGTTCCATCCCGATCATGACAAGGAGGACACGGCGGGTGTGACCGGTCAGCAGGGGAAAGTCAGTCATCCATGATTCCATCTCTGACGTTTAGGAGGTCTGAGTTTGCTCTGCGCTGTTTTTAATTAGGGACTTTGATATGGAATACTGTTCGTTATTTCCGTATCCTTCTGATTGATTCATAACGTTCTATTGTAAATATAAGTCATTTTCCTGTGACTACTTTAATTTTATCGACCTGTCAGGTAGTCTTCGGTTAATGAACATTTTCGAAATCTTACACGCCTGACATGATACTAGGGACAGCGGAATGCAAAAAATAGGAAACTTTCGGGGAGCGTATGAAAATACGTTTTGATGCATTTTTTACCGTACAGAGAAATTATTTTCGTGATACGTTTCACACTGATAGACTTGTCTTCAGGGAAAGGGTGCCACAATCATTTGCGTCAGAGTCACAAGTCTATTCCAATCGGATCATCACTCGTTTTATTCGTTAAATTGAAATATTAAATAATTTTAATTTCACGACTCTGTTTAACAATTAAGTTCATATGAAATTAAATAAATTAAACTTCGGTTTTCCACCTGATTCTCAAACTTTAACTTTTAGTATAAATGCTTAGTGATGTAAACTGAATGTAGGTCATAAACGAATTTCAATATCGCAATAGCATATCCTTGTTTTAATTTAAAAAAATATATAAGTTAGTAATCTTTTTTTTTGCATTCTTTTTACTTTCTATGAAATGATGCTGCTTTCAAAAGAATTCGCATTTTGTTGGTCAAAAAATGATTAAGATCTTTTAAATTTATGCCCTTATTAAGAAAAATAAAATTAATTTGACCCGTCTTTGTTAAAAATACCAAACCTGTGCAAAAAAAACACGTTTGAATTAATCATTTTATTATATTATATTTTCGGAAACCTTAATATATATATTTTCTTTCATTTTGTAGAAATATATGTTGTGTAACTCGCCGGCTAATTTTTTTGTTGACGTAAATTTGACACTTCAATTGTTTTAAGTCAGGGTGAAAAGAGCAATCGAAGCATAAGAGAGTAACACTCCTGAAGGTCTTAAAAATATGGAACCACGTGACACCCACTATAGTATGTTATGTGTGGTATTAACTGTTCTTCTAATGAATATTTAAGATTTTTTCTTCTGACTGTCGACTGAAATTTAACTGTTCTTTGTGGGTAGACAATTTTTTTCTTCTGAAAAAAGTTTATTACGTACTAAAAACAGTGATTCGTGAGATATTTTTTTAAAGGTGAATATTTAATAAATTTCTCCCTTAAAATTTTTATTCCCCTTGAAGATTTAGGGCTCTCTACCTTTTGATCCTTTTAAAAATAAGTAATTTTAGGTCTCCTATCTGTATTTAAGGCACCAGTTGTGGTTTGTCCAATAGGACTAAAGTTGAAGTCATGTAATTAGACCTGATTTATTCTATGAAGTTTAAGACATCTTATTACATCGAAATTTATGACCAAAATCTAAAAATTATAAAGTCGAATATGGAGCATTTAGGAGAGTAATTATTCTGCCCATTGTACTTCTTTAAAATGACCGATGCCTACATTTCTCCTAATTTTGCAAAAAGTTTTCACAATAAACCATATAAAAAAAATGTTGATAAAAATATGTTTTCTTTACCTCTCTGCAATAAGAAGTTATTCTTATTTGCGTGTATAGTGCATTAAAGTCAGTATAATTTCATTCTTATGTATTTAGATATTGGACAAGAAAAAATTCAAGAAAAAGTTTACACAGCGATAAGTGACAAGGCTTGTTATTTTTAAACCCCTTTTGGGCCCCTGGTTTGGAATATATTTTATGATAAGTGAGAAGGCATGTTATCTTTAAACCCCTTTTGGGCCCCTGGTTTGGAATATATTTTATAATGATGCACCAGGGGGTTATTTCCTTATTGGTCATATTTTTTGGGAGGAACATACAACAAAAGCAATCTATCAAGATGATGGTAATTAGTTTAAGTGCCAAGTAAAGGTCTAAATTTGAATCTATTTACCGGTACATTATAACGTTTCTATATGAGCGATTTTTTTTCAAAAAAAGAAAATTAACGAGGCTGAGTCTAATTATTTCTACCATAGGGATTTTGATAATTTTTGTTAATTCATTTTTAATGTTATATTTATTGTTTTAAGATTTTAAAAATCGAATGCTTACCATCCCGATTTCTTTGAGGGTCATATGAACATCTAAAGATCACATGTTATTTTTCTCAAGATTAATGACAAAAGTTTGTTTGAGTCATTTGTCCTTAATGAATAAAAAATTGTCGTGATCCATTCACTAGATTGATATACCAAAAATAAATACCATTCCATTACTCTTCAACATACCTGTAAGTAATGGTACGACGGTATCAATTAAGTAGAAATTGTACAAACAATATACACGTAAAATTATACAAAAGACATTGTATTCAAATTATCGGCGTTTTAAATTCCTGAAAAAAATGTTTTATTTAATAATAATTTTAAAAATGGTTTTTTATTGTGAAAAAACCACTTTGATCTGGCGCCTTGCTGCATTCAAATTACGTCATGTTTCACGAAATGGCATAAAATCTATAGGTTC